TTTCTTTCGCTCTAGATCTGATGCATAAGGTCCCCCATCATTGCGTTTCTTAAAAATGTGGGCCTATAATTGTCGGTAATTGTCGCTTTACGCTATGGCAGTCATCGCTACAAATAAAGCGATTTCCTCTACATCTTTTTCTTTCCATTTGATCAAAAGTAGCGTGACGATTCCATTGCCTTATTCAGCGAAGCCTCCTCCAGATTCTGACGGCCGTTCAAAACATTCAAGGATAGCAGCAGAGGTTTCGATGCCCACAAAGCGTTAAATAAAAAGTTCCTTAAACTGTGTCCAAGTGATGCCAGAAAAAAATATTTGTGACAGCCACGGTGACAGCCTTGCCTTCTAATGCCTTGCTTTCTGATATATGGTCTACCAGTCTGAAGGTATAATTAGGCTTCACTCAGCAAAGTCTTTCTCTATAGTACCAAAAGATGTTATTTCGGAGAATTTTATTAAAGAAAACTACTGCGTGTTAAAATATATATATATATATTTTAAGGGTTATATTTATACATACTTAATGAAGATATATACAAAATTAAAAAAATATACTTATTTTTAGCGAGTTATTCGCTATTTCACAAGTTACTAAAAAAAGCCATTACCTCTTGAAGTGATTGTTAAAAAATGTAATTTAAGACAAGTAAATAAAGTCTAAGCTCGGGTGTAACCGAACACTTCATACAATCCAATTGTCAAGAATCAAAGCCAAGGAAATCCTTCAGGTGTTTTGAATTAATTACAATCAGGTTTGGTATTGTATTATGTATTGTAAGTTATGTTATTGGTCATAGACTCAATTAGTTTTATAACTATATTTTACTTACCGTCAGCGAAAATTTTATTAAATTCATCCTCAAATGGCGCATATCTGACATAAACTTAACCGAAAGGGCTAAATTTAATATATTGATTTAATGTGCAAAAAGTTCAGCAAAAGATCGGAATTGATGATATCAGGAGTATAAGATTTATCACCAAGTTTTAGATCAATTCTGATCATGTTCAGCGCCAAACCAATAATATAACAAGATTTGTTAGAATATTGGAAAATATTATATTATATGTAGTATAATATAATTTCACATATTTTCTGCATTAAACTAAAGTATTTCCAATATTATACGTTCGGTTAATTTTGCTAAGATATCTTATAGGTATATTGACCGATATACTACATATTATTAACGGAAACAGATGTCCTCGAAATTTCATTAACGTACCTCACATACCGTTAACATTATATTAGATAAGGAGGAAAGTCAACCGGAAACTTGGAACACTGCGCCGTGGAGCTCACTTCTAGCGGCATCTTCTCCGCGCACATACCTGCAAGGAATATGGGTGCCTGGATATAGCAGAATCGTCGGAATCTGCAAGAACGATGAGCTCACTAGAAAGGACACCCTTACCTAAATCCCATTAAGATGGGAACGAGCAGGTTTTCCGTTGTCGTTATGCACTCGGGCGCTGGATCTATGGGGTTCGAAAAACTTTCTATTAGATATGTGGGGGCTAAGGGAAATATTGACCCGATTTCATCCAGTTTTGACAGTCAGACATATTATTAACAGGAAAGGATTCTCTCCTAATTTCAATAATACATCTTACACATTGACCGATATTTTCTGTTGAAAGTCAGCCGTAGGTTCTGGATCTCACATTTCTGGTATCTCGGAGTTTGAATAGTTAAGGTCCAATTCTGGCAATTTTTAGACCTGAAATGGAAGACCTGTCAATATTCGTTAAAATTTTTATCCCGATATGTTAACTGGTTCTTGATATGTTTACTGAAAAGTAAAAAAATCAGATGGAATTTAAAGTATGGCTTGAATGCTTTGAGAGATATATACATTTAACCTATTAGGGGGCGGGGCCACTTCCAATTTTTTAAATTTTCAAACCTCAGGTGGCCCTCGGTATTGCGATTCGTTGTACGAAAGTACAGTGTTGTATCTTAACTACAGCCTGCATAGGTGGACAGACAGACAGTCACCCGGATTTCAACTCGTCTCTTCATCTTGATCATTTATGTATATATACATATATTACCCTATATCTAACTCTATTATTTTTAGGTGATACAAACAACCTTTAGGTGAACAAAACTATTATACTATGTTGCAACATGGTGCAAGAGTATTAAAATGGCAGACTGAAAAGAGTTGATTTTTGTTCAATCATACAATCGAAAAACTAGAAGGTCATTGTGCAGAGAAACAAATAAATAAAAAAAATAGAAAAATAACAAAGCGATCAGATGATTTGCCTTCGAGTTATAATTGCAGTCAATTTGTAAAATGGAGGTTCGGGAAAACGCGTTTGACCCTGGAACGTCATCCTTATTTTTTGTACACTAAGATTCGTCATTTTGACTACGACTTATTTTAAAACGCCATAAAAAATATCGAGAGGAAAAAGCGAAATCAAAATGATTTTATTATTTTCTTTATTTAATCTTAAATCAAGAAGTATCGAAATTCATATACCATATATTTTTAGTGGGTTAAACTTAAAATTAATATTTTACAGCCTTCTTTTATTTATTATGGTTTTGAAAGCATGACATAATATAAAACCGAAAATTATAACATATACCACATGCTTTCTGTTGTCTTCTTGTTTCTTAAAAATAATAGATGTAATTTTAAAATGATATTGATTTAAAGAAGGCAAGGGGCACAAAGTTCAACTTTGTGGTCGCCACATACACTTTTCTATTTCCAGTTTTTTTTGTAGGAACCACATTTTCAGCATTTGGGTAAGTAATTATTAAAATCTCATTTCTAATATTGAAAAACCGAACTTGCTTCTGAATGCTTAGAATGCTCGTTCACTGCTAGATATGGACCGGGAGTATAATTTTTTTCTGCATTTTTGCACAAACATTTCGAATTTTTTCCTGATGGGAGCGAATTCGTCACCAACTAAAAGCAGACATACAGATTTATCGCCAAACCGCCGGCAAGACATTGAATCTTGCTTTTGTAGTTATGCTTATATATTAGGATCCACTACAAAAAATATTAAGCCCGTAGTGATGCATAATACGTTTCACTGAAGTCCATTTTTTCCACAAAGTATAGTTTTATCGTTCGTTATAATGTTTGATTTCGCCCTTAAAATATTTAGAGGAATATCATCCTCATCAGAAGCGACTTCTATATCAGAAGGCTCACTATAGTTCAGATCGTCATCGCTTTCATCGTCGTCATAACTAAAGGAAACAAATTTCTCAGTTTCTTTATCACTAAACGATTTTTGATATGCCATGCTGCAAAAATGTAGCAATTAAACATTACATAAAGGTTTTCCTTCGTCATATTGACTACTAAACATATAAGAAGAACCTGTTTTCAATCGAATTTAAAATCGCGCGTCATCATTTTGACGAAAGAGGATTTAATATACACTGATTGAACTGAGCTGCTGCACTTTAGAAGGCTGTAACTCATAATTTATTTGAAATATTCATTTAAATTTTTAGTATGTTATTTCGATATTCTCCGAACAGTGCTGCGGTGGATTTTTTGTGCATATTATAATGTCAAACAATATTTAATAACAAACAATATTTAATATAGCTTTCCGATATCGGCGGTACCTACAAATGAGCAATCACTTGTTGAGAAAAGGAAGTGTGCAAAATTTCAGGTCGATCTCTTAAAAATTGAGGGACTAGTTGGCATACATACAGACATACATAAGTAAATAAGTGCTTATAGTCTCGCAACATGTTGATTAATAGTTTTGTTCACTTAACGGTTGATGTATAACCTGTGCAAGCTCTAACTTGAGTGAAAATTTAAATATCTTGATAAAACTTTGCACAGGTTTTCCTTGCCAAATGGGGAGCTCGGTATTGTAGATGGTCGCATTCGGGCCCACAAAACGCTATTAAAGGGAAACTTATCAAGGGCTATAATTAAGCTCTAAATTAAGATATGAAATTTGATACAGGGTATCGCAGTAGTGAGCAGTACCTGTGGAATAAAAACTAAAAAATAAACATGGTGCCATATTATTGGACCAATTTCAACCAAATTTAAATTCCGAAACTCCGGTTTATACCGCATATATCGGCCAATATGTGAGTTATCATAATGAGATGGAGAGAGCGTATCTTTTTAATAACAGTGTATATTTGTGCTAAAATTGAAATTAATAAAATCGGGTGAAAACTTGCCCGAGCCCCCATATACCTTATATCAGCATTTTAAAACATCCAATTGACTTTCCTCCTTATTTGTATATTGGTGTGCCTTGGTGAAAGTCAGAGATCATATTTTTCTGGCAGTGCAACTTATGCGGTAATGCCAAAAATTTTAAAAATCGAGTCAACACTACCCCTATTTTCGGTTGGCTTTAAACCGTATATATCGGTCAATATGTAAAATATTTTAGCAAAAATAAGTAAACGTATAATATATATATATTTTTATTATAACTCCCATATATTACATATAATGGTTTTATTATATTTATTTTAGCAAACCTTATGTAGAATATGTTGGTCAGTGTGTTAGTTGTATATTTATAAAATCCCTTGACAATATGTTCTCAAGAATACCTATTTGGGATATTTTAATGAAATTGGACAATTTTTCTTAAAAATTGTGCGGTTTAGAGCTGAATATAAAGTCATTGATCTAGACCCTGGTCCAAACCTCAAATCCTTAGTAAAATAAATTCCGATCCGTTGGTTGACGTTTTCATGTATGCATGTTTTATATCACATATATATCATTTGAGGATAATTCTAATATAATTTTTGCAGACGCAATCAATATATGTTAATAAGATTCCAAAATTTTAATCCATTCACGATTTCGTCGAATAATGTAATATCATGCTTCGCCAAAAAATTTTGAGTGATTACATTTATTGTATTCACTAATCTAGACTATCCTCACTGCCGATATTTATAAAACAGCTGTTTTTGACATTAAAAATTCACACCGTTTAATATTTATTCAAAAGAAAACATTCTAGCGTCGTATTTTGTTATAAAAGTCGTCTTGTTTTAAATATTTTTTATTTAATGGGAATAGTGGCCACATTTTTTGATTTGGGAAGTCGATTGCCAGGGGAATTCATATGCATTGCTTTTAGTTTATTTGTTTGTTTACATTTTGGCGCTAAATCAAAGTCGCACAGGGAGATTTTGAGTAGATTAGCTTCAAATGTCCTCGGTGATGAGATTAACAAGTGTCATTTTTGTGTGTCGAAGTCTTGCTAAATAAATATAAAATATAAATATGTAAAATAGTTGTGAGGGGCTTCTACTTCTTTTTCGAGACACGTTTGAATTATTGCTGCGTTTCCCAGAAATGAAAATATACATATGTAATATAAAACAGTAAAATTTTAGTGTAAGTTTGTATTTTGCGACAATTCCAATTAAGCTTATTTAAGTAATAAAAAAGTATATACAAACTTTTGAACAAACCTATCATAATTTTGATATCTGGAGTTAAATATTAATTCCGTGGTTTGAAAACGTCTCTACACACAATAAAATGTACAATAGCTAGGAAATAGTAATCAAATTATAATTACCATCTTACATAATATTCTTATTTGTAAAAAAATATTATTTAAAGTTACAATTTGCTTTACAATGGCTTTAAGGCTGAAAGAAATTAACAAAATTAAATATTTTTACTTACAATGCTGAAATACAATACATAATTATTTCTGTACATGTGAACAATTCTGTGCCGACTAGGCATGAAAACTTTACTCGGTTGAAAGAAATTCTTAAGAGAGCATATTAAGTGATTTAAAATCTCAAGTACAAAAATATTAATATAATAACAAATGGATAAATTTGGTTTTGAAAATATACCTTTGTCGATTTAGGATTCTATATTCATTAGAGGTAATCTATTTTAATTTGTTTAGAGCTCGACTTGAAAAATTCTGAATTTTCAAAAATTACGCTTTTTGCACTTTTTTGAACTGCACGTACACTCTTTACAATTATTGGGTCATTCTCTGCCCCATTACCACAAATGCTTTTACTTAGGAAACTAAAGTTAATAGTCTACACTAAGTTAGCTAAAATGTCACAATTTGTTTAAATTGCTAAAACTAAGAAATGAGCTTATAGGTATAATTATGATATAAGTACATATGTACGTGATAACAGTTATTTATACATTCCTTTAAAGCTAATTTTCGTGTACATGAGTTCGAAACATTGAAGAAGGGCGCAGGTGCGGGTATTTATAGAACTGGGAGGAGATGAATATACAATTTCTCTGCTCATATATTATTATATTTGGCGTTATATTATTGACATATGCATTTGTTTAGCCTGCGTGATTTTTATCTACTTTTAAAATTATAAATTAGCACCATCAACAACGTCCCCAAGAGCATACTCCAGTTGTGTGATGTATAATAGTTGTTCGCAGAATTGCTTTGTCTCGAAACATCGGCTTCTGGAGATTGGTCATGAGCTTGATGGTCGTCATTTCCTGTTTGTGAAATGTATACTATTATATTATATATTTGTTATTATATGTACATAAAATAATTATTATAGAAGAGTGCTAACATTTTTATAGACTAAGTTTAATATTTTCTATACTATTGTATATTAAATTAAAGTATGAATAACTGAATAGAACTTTTCCCCAAGAAATTTCGAACTATAAAATTGACGATGTTTTTAAATTTGATTTAATGCATTAAAAGAGTTTCTATATTTTTGTCTATTAAATCATTCAAATAATTATAGGACATGTTTCGAAAAATTATTATACCAGATATATGCATGTATGTGTGCATGTGTAAATTTTTACAGAAATCAGCATGTCTAACGTATACGTCTACTGGTCTTCCAGAGATCTTTTTGTCAGCACGTTTGCATTGTGGCATAATAACAAATGAACCCGTTAAAAAGAGATTAATGATATTCGTTTGATATGAATAATTTAAAAATTTCTCTTTCTTATGTCATCGAGATATTTCATTATTTATACGAAAAAAATAAATCTTGCCGAATACATATGTACATTGATAAATACGGAGAGCATAATAAAAACAGAGTAATTTGTTGGAAAATAGTATTAGAAGTTATTTGCAACTGTGAAAAATTTCAATTTCTTCATTATAGCTCTTGTGATTCAACAGGATTTGGTTAATTCATGTTTTTGTGGGTAGTAGTCAATTTTGATGACATATGAACTAACTATTAATTGAATGCTCCAATTCACGAGAAAATAACTGAAGGAATATCTTTTACGAAAGACCGTAACATCAAAAAAAAACTGTATTTGTGATTATTTATTGCAAAAGTGTGATAAGTATTTTAATGAAAAACAATACATACACATTCAGTTTACATTCTTGAGTACGTTTTCTAAGTTTTTGAAAAAATTACCAACGACTTATTGACTGCTACGAAATTTGGGACTCCTTTTTATTTTTAAAGGCCTTAAATGGTTGAAATTCAATAAATACGTAAATTATGAGTTGTGTGAAAGTGATTAGCAACAAAAACAAAATTCCAAGTGTAAATACAGTGCTTCAAAATATTGCATTCCTATTTTCTGAAGAAGCATTTAATTTAGGGGTTTTAAAAATCGGTTGTCATACGAGAGATATGACTCCCATTACGGGTTACATCCACTTGTGAATAAGAAAAAATCGATTTTTTTCTTTTTCTTATATATCGAATGTACATATATTTAAAAATATTCTCCAAAAATTTAGAGATTAGAAATAGTTTCGGAGATATAAACAAATGAGTTACCATAATTTTAAACGCGTTTTTCTGGAAACGCTGTTTTCAGAGCTGGTGAGGAATATTTTTGCGAAATAGCTAAACCGATCGACTTGAAATTTTCACATGACCTTCATACGTGGTGCGATAAGGCAAGCACTCGAAAATAGGCAGAAGCTAGGGCTGGCTCCAGGAAAGTTGCAGCACAGGAGGCATCCCTGTAGCCAAAGCTTGGCTGCTAAGCAGGGGGAGGAGGGAGATGTCAAAAGGGCTGCTGCTACTAGTGCGTCAGCCAGATTTTTGTTGCCGGTTTTTAGGATCGAAGACCGTGCTGCATACCTGCTGAGAAAGGTAGAGCTGCAACCGCCAAACAAGGAGGAGCTAACGGAGGAGCTCCAAAAACTATTAACTGTGCGAGAGCAGTTTTACCTTATTTTAAAGTGGAACCGGCAGTAGTGGCAGCCAAGAGACAAAGTTCCGCTGAAGAGGCTAAGCCATCGGCCAAGAGACCGAAGACTAAGGGCGTGACGTCCACAAAATCCTTTGCCGGTATGGCCCGGAATTGCATAATCATTGGTGCGCTGGATGAGGAAGATTTCGAATAATCTTTACACCATCAAAGCCAGGCCAGATAATACAGCTCACCAGAACCTGAAACACGAATCTTCTAACTGGGGAACTGAGACGAAACTAGCCACAATGTAGGCTGGTGTCATGCTACATGCCGTATGATGAAGGGGCGTATTTATGATTCCGCCATTTCAATCAAGGAACAAAGAGGAAATAAACATCCACTTCAAACAGTTCACAGATTGCTTGTCCCATAACACGTAGTAGGGCGAAAAGTAGGTCCTTCTAGTGGTCCCCCGTACTTAAGAACTTACAAAAAAATTAATTTAATTTAGCCAAATTATTCAAAAGAGAAGTGGAGTGCGATAACTACTATAACTTCTTAAGGGGGGAAACCATTTGAGATGATTAAAAAAAATTGATTTTTTTATTGCATAAATTGTTAGTGCAACTATTCAAGAATATGCTATTTAAGTTTCCAAACGAAATTCCAATCAATTCCGATGATAAGAGCACTAAGGTAAACACCGGTCGATTCAGTGCCGAAGCGCACTTTTTTTTCAAACGCGTTTTTCTCGAAACGACTTTTTTCAACTTGCGGGAATCCTAGCTCAAAAAGGTATTCACGAATCGATCTAAAAATTTGTGTAAATATCCTTTATTCAAATCCGAAAATATGAACCAAACTCTGGAATGATATTTTTAAGTAAAATATATTTTTTTATGTAAGAAAGGTGAAAAAATTATATAAAAACATAACATTTTGTTCAAACTCCTCCAAAACATTTAATTTGCAACTCTTTTGGCCAGAGTTTGGTTCATATTCTTAGAAAATATGATACTAACGAAAGAAAAAAAAAATTAATGATTTCAGATCAAAACTGTAACCTCCAGGTGTCCCGCCAGCAGTCAACTCTGATGGCGGTCGTCAATGGACACCACCCTCTAACTAAGTATTCTTTCTCAGTTAAAAAAATCACAAAAAACACTCAAATTTCGGCCTCCTAAACTGGTTCCCCCTCTTAAGGTCATACCAAAAAGACGTAAGGAAAGCTAAAAGAAATTTGGGAAATTTGGAAATCTTTTTGTAATGATATCGAGAATACGGAGGAAGATTCTCGACTTAAAAGAATAATGGCACAATCAGTGCACAACAATGGATACCTCCAGAAGCCAAACCACACCTGAATGGGTATCCAGTGAAAAATCTCTAGGCCTGCTTACGGATACTCACTTCCCAGGCAGCTCCGAAAAGCACACAATGGAGTATACAAAATTGACAGTGAAGTGGAAGCAGAGTCCCCTCCTGTAGATATAGTAGTGTAGTCAGACAGTAATGTTTATTGAGTGATAGGCAGCTTCAAGCCTTACAAATCGCCGGGACCAGACAGTTTATTCCCGGCTCAGTTACCACCGTCCCAGAGCTACAAAATAAACTGGTGAACAAATATGCTTAAAGGGGCACTGCAATTAAACTCTATTCCCTTGTTATGGAGGAAAGTCGAGGTGATACAATATATATACCAAAGACACGCAAAAGCTCACTCACTAACCCAAAGGATTTCAGACCAATTAGTCTTTTCTCATTTCTCTTATTTCTCTTAAATACGTTGGAAAGGTTGATAGAATTATGCAGGAGCAAACTAATCCCAGTAAACTCGGTAGTAGTAGAGATCGCAAAGTCTCTGGAAATAAAAGAATACACACTCGTTGCTTTCTTAGACATAGACGGCGTTTTTAATAAAATCCAACCAAATGCCATACTGACCGCGCTTAAAGATTGGGACATCTCTGAGCCTCATGGGCAGGTCTATTATTTCAACGCTGGAAGCTTCAACGACATGCAGTTCTGTCCGAAGGGGTACACCTCAGGGAGGCGTGTTATTTCCACTTCTCTTGATCTTAACAATGAACAAAACGTTGGTGGATCTGGAAAAGAAAGGCGTACGTGTTGCGGTCTACGCTGACAATGTGGCTATTTCAGTTAGGAAAAATTCTAAATACGCGGTAAGACTTATGGAAAGTATTCAAAGAGCAGCCAGTATTTGCATCAGTGGAGCTCTCAGAACAACGCCAAGAACGGCGTTAAACGTAATCTTATACTTACTGCCAACAGACTAGTCTTGTAAGCAAATGACAGCGAAGTCAGCTCTAAAACTGAGGGAATCCTTCCTACTAGTCGCCCGTAAGAAGTGGCATTCTATGATACTTAGAAACTTTTCGTTTCTTCACGGAATTTCAACCAGAGTTGAATTTAAATCCGATCGCCAATATTGTCTTTTGTTCCAGTCTTCTCTGCTAAGCTAGATACCAAAATCGTCTTCCATCTTCCAGACCACTGTCCTTTAGGATTTCGTCTAAGTTAGTGAAAGAATCCTGTGTAGCAGATTAACTAGCCAGAAGAGGCACCACAATACAACCAGAGTCTGCTATGCGATTGTAAGGCTTTCTATATGAAAAGAATCGCAACCATCGGTCGAGGGTTTCTTGAAGATGGAGGTTGTAGAGATAAAACTTGTCATACTGATGACATTGTTCCGAGAAGAACCAAGAGAGTGAGGACACTTGGATTCCGGTATCACAATGGGCTTCCTAACGGCTTAGGTGTGTCCTACCTACCTTCATACGTATATTGTCAGGTAATGATCGAAGGAATAAGATTTTTGTTAATATTTTCGACTATTTTATGGGAAGCCGCAATTTTCTCAAAAATTTTAATTATGACTAATCCTTCGATGCTTATTTGTATTCATTCATATATTGTAATATTTTTTTTTCCTTTTTTTGTGGGTTTGAATTTAAGATAAAATGCAAAATTTTTCCAAACGAATAACCCATTATTAAAGTATATTCAATTCAGTAAATGTACATTTGCCTCTCCAAAAAAAAAAAAAAAAAATTCACGAAAGGATGCTTTTAAGTAAAAAAAAATGCTTCTAATGATTTATGTACATTAAGCATAATACAGAGGTTTTATCTTTGTAGAGGGATATTGACCTTGAACAAATTAAATGGGTTTATTTATTTTTAACGAATATATTATGAGAAAAAAAATTTACTAAAGCAGACAAGAGGGATATAATTTTAAAATAAATGGTCCTAAATTTCGTTTTTTATGTAATATCGGCCTTCTTCAGATATATTTATCCTTTTCTCTGCTAGTAAATATCAATTTTAGATAATGACTATTTCATGTATCCTCTTTGCACTTTGTATTAATCATGATTCTTAATGAATATTAGTAAAATTACCAAAAATTACTTTTCATCGTTATTCTGCTGTACAAGGTAATGAACATCCGTTAAACGTATATAAACAATTCCCAAGTATTAAAAATAATTAGATGTATTAGTTAAATGCTCAATAGATTTGACTCTTCATAAACAATATTGACTGAAATATATAAATATTTATTTAATAATTTAGTATATTTACATATATGTATGTATAACAGAAGGAAATACATACATACATAAATTCATTAAGAGATTTAATTACTGTAATTCGCCTCCACTGAAGTGCAGTAGTTAGGACAATGATTTTGGCAAAAAATTTAATTTAGATTTAATAATAAAAATTATCATAAAAACTCTTAAACATTGTGTTATAGCAAACGTTTCAGTTAAGCTTTTGATAAGAAATTATTACACACAATAATCAAATAATATTTAACTGAAAAATCTCTTAATGAAACTTTTTTCATATACTAAGCTACAAAGGCAATAAATATGAACAAGTAAGGAAGGGCTAAGTTCGGATGTAACCGAACATTTTATACTCTCGCAAAGTCAAATGGTATACTCGTTTGAGATTTCTTTGTGGATTGGCTGGTATTTTCGGTAGAAGGTCAACTATAGGCACTGGGGTTCACATATTTAGTACTTAGGGGCTTGAACAGTTTTGGTTCGATTTAGACAATTTTTAATCACAAGGTGGCATACTTTAAATGTATTATTCACGCAAAGTTTTACCCCGATATAATCATTGTTTCTTGATATGCATAGTGGAAAGTGAAAGAATCAGATGGACTTGAAAATGGTGTTATATGGAAAATAGGCGTGGTTGTAGTCCGATTTCGCCCATTTTCGCACTATAACATAGAAATGTATATACAACATATACGAATTTTGTTGAAATTGGTTAAGCAGATCTCAAGATATGGGTTTTCACCTAAAAGTGGGCTGTGCCACGCCCACTGACTAATTTTGAACGTGGTTCCTATAAAGTCATCTCATACCATCCCAGAGATAAAATTTAATGTCTCTGGCGTGTTTAGTGCTTGATTTATCGCGCTTTTAATAGTTTTTAACAGTACCGTTATATGGAAGTGGGCGGGGTTGCTACCCGATTTCAACTATTTTCACACCGTCAATAGAAGTGCTAAAAACATTTGCTTCCAGTGAATTTTGTTATTATAGCATTAGCGGTTTAGGAGATATGCACATTAAACCTATTAGAGGCGGGACCACGCCCACTTTTTAAAAAAAATTTTAACTGCAGATGAGCTCCCCCCCCCTAATTTGATCCTGTGTAAATAACTGTCTTGTATCATATTGCGGAGCTTAGTTATGGCATTTTTTTTGTTTTTGATTAATGTCGTTTTGTGGGCGTGGCAGTGGTCCGATTACGCCCATCTGCAATACCAACCATCTCACGGCACCAAGAAACATGTCTACCAAGTTTCATAAAGATATCTCAATTTTTACTCAAGTTACAGCTTGCACGGACGGACGGACGGACAGACAGTCCCCCGGATTTCAACTCGTCTCTTCATCCTGATCATTTATATATATATAACCCTATATCTAACTCGATTAGTTTTAGGTGATACAAACAACCGTTAGGTGAACAAAACTATTATACTCTGTAGCAACAGGTTGCGAGAGTATAAAAAGAGTGTATCTATTAATTGTGCTTAAATGTACTATCAATGGGAAATAAATAATAACTCTCACGTACATTTGCGAGCATTCTTTCGGAATTTGTGGTGTTGTTGTTTTGCAGATGTAAGCAGGATATACGGCATGGAGACGGTGCGGCCACAGAAGTAAGCGCTAGTTTTCTCTTTCAAGGAATTTATTTTTACTCGTAATAGTACAGCTTCAACTGGTGCTACTGCTGCCGGACGCACTACCTCCATGAGCTGGACATAGTTTGACGAAGACAAGCGATATATAATGTTTTGATGAATGAGGAAGCTGGATGATAATAGCGATGGGCTGGATGGTCTGCCTAGTTCCACATTTATACACGGTATAGATGATATTTATCAACTTTAGTTGTTTTGCATACACAAATTAACTAACAAATTTACAAGCCTATGGTTCTTACACTACTTTTTTAACTTTAAAGTTGTCTCTTTAGTTTTACACTATTTTTGGGTGTTGAGGGACATCGTTGGATACAATTAAGAAATATATATGGTACAATTAAAAGAAAGAATTCGCTATGTTCCACATCCAAACAGGGATATTCCCTCTGCCAGGCTTCTCATCTTTCATTTGTAAAAATATTTAAAAATTTCCAGCAGAAGTCATTTTTTCGTCGCAAATATATGTATGTAAGTGATGGTGGCAAAAATAGAAATGTAAGAATTATATAAATCAAAATTTATACATATTTACTTCGGTAATGTGCATAAAAAAATACTATAATGGATATACATACATACATTGAGATGCAGTATCCCTCTAAACTACCGATACTATTACAAATTTGTATAAATACTACTACAATAATTTTCTAAACAAACATATTAGTGCATGTAATTACTTATATAATAATTGCTACTAAATTAATTAAGCTATTTGTAAAAACACGACTAATCTTTTTAAAACTACACGCAGCTACATACTTGTACATTCATATCTGCATCGATGAGAGATGATAGCATATGCACGCAGATTTACCATAGTAAGTGGCTCAAAATACGCAACCATACAACACATTTGGTTAGTTTTGTATCTACGAATGGATGCATACATTGTTTGCTGGCATAATAGGTATACTCGTACCTACAATTCGTACATACTACTAATCCCTGATTTTTAACCTTCAAATGTGTTATAAGTTAGGCATTATATATATACATATTTGTATGATACATACATATTTGTATGAAATAAAGGATTTTGTGAGTTCAGCCACGTTTTTTAATGCCTGCAAAATAAACCAAATTCAACAAAATGGGTTTTAGATATCATAAATTTGTAAAAACTATCTCAAGATTATGAAGTGCCTAACCGATCAAAGTTAGTTACTCAGAAGTACAGTGCATCGAAAATTTGCAAACTCTAGGAAAGAAGCCGTTATGTATGTACCTATGTACAAGTATACTATATACTATTTGAGCACATACGTATGTATGTAATACGATTGAAATAATAGTAGAATGCCAGCATTCATTTATAGGGATAACATTAAAAACAAATAAAAATAATATACAGTTATGATGCAATTTATTTTAAGTTTCAATTAGTTACAACCATCCAACAAAGCAAACGGATATGCTGAAATTCATTATAGTCAAATAATGGTATAAAATCAAAATATGAGTTAAAAATTACTGTTTTGGGAAATTTGTATGTGTTAAGCCAATAATTTGCATATAGAATAGATATTACTAAATAACCGTAATATAATTGCTATATGAACTGATCAAAACACCATTGACACTTTTTTTAATTACGTCCAAATTCATATAAATATGCATACAGTAGGATTATTTTTATAGCAATATTTTTAGCATACACGTTCTTAAATAACTCCGAAGGTTTAAATGATACTAGACCTTTTTTCTTACACCTCACTTTTATAGAAGCAGTTATTATATAAGTACATACTTCGCATAAGATTTACAACATCAAATTTATAAAAAATATTCTTTGGCTACTATTGAACTACCATTCTAAATTGTGTTAAACAGATGTGTTTATGTACCCGTTACCTGTCTGTTCCACATATAACGATTACTCCAAGTTAACGCTTACTCAACGTTTTCGGCATTCAGAAAGGGACTATTTTTCTAATATTTAATGTAAAAAAAAAACAAGAAAAAATGTTAACTTCGGTGAACTCTTCACAAATAAAAAAGTTTCCATAGAAGAATTTGATTTGAATAGTTCAGTTTGTATGACAACTCCATAATATAGTGGTCCGATCTGGAAAATTTCTTTAGATATTGCTGTGTTGCCTTGGGCAATAATCAATGGTGAATTTCTTGAAGATACCTCATTAAATAGAAACGTTTTCTATACAAGAACTTTATTTTGATCGTTCAGGTTGTATGGCATCTAGTGGTCCGATATCGGAGGTTCTGACAATTGGAAGAAAATGCCGTGTGCAACATTTTAGAGCGAAACTGAGGTACTAGTTCGCGTATATACAGACAAGCAGACGTACAGACGGGCATGGCTAATCATATATATGTATCTCAAACGTTTACTTCAGGGTTTTATAAACTTAATGTACCCTGTTCAGAGTATAATGATGTGTTTATAAATATTTACAATAAAATAGTGAATTACTATTCTGCTACTTCATTATTCTGCAAACCGGTAGTTCTATTAACTGAATATTACTATTGTGAGCGCAAAGTACCAGGTAATGGGTATATATTATATAATACATATAATATATATCATATACCTATATGGTGTATGTTGTCTTGTTTTGCTATTGAAAATTGCTAGATCCTAACTCATTATTCTGGATGTTCAAACGAAGTGTTATACGAGTAATATGTTAATAAAAACACCAATAAATACTTCGTATGTTATGGATCTTTAATAATTATGCTTCTGAATTAGTAAATAAGCAAATAAGCATCTATATACCCGTGCGACAAATAAATCTAGTGCGTTTGTTAATTATATTGTTATATACTACTTATTTTTTATCATATATGACTTGCATTTTGTTTATAATATGTGCGTATTATATATATAATCACTATTCTCCAAGTGTAGTTTAGTGAAACCGACCAGGCTACTGTTTCCGAAGGAACTTGTGAGTTTCATATTCAGTTGCCTTGAAAATTCGTTTATTTTTGTTGTAAATTTTTATATTATTTTTCTTAACGGTATGTTGACACATCGGGATGATAAATTCAATGAGACCTTAGTATGTACATATAAGCGACAAGTTAAATGAAAATAGGATGAGTATAAAATTAATATTCACAAACTAATTGAATCACTGACATTGTGAATGATTATTAAAATTCAATAAAGAAATTATGTGAATTGTTCCATAAATTGCATTTGTATAAAAGTATTCTATTATTTACATTCGATTACATATGATTATTAGTGAAATTATCCTATGATTGTTTATTTATCACATTGTTTATATATGCAAGTGTTTTTGACGTTATTTTGTTACAAAGGTTTAATAAATAACATAGTACAAACATATATGAACTTTGCAAATTATGGTTATAAAAAACCATGTCTTCATTTTTACTAGTTTTTACGCAATTAAAGACTTAAAATAAAAACAAGTAAGGTAGATTAAGTTCGGATGTAACCGAACATTTTATACTCTCGCAAAGTCAAATGGTAAACTCGTTTGAGATTTCTTTGTGGATTTACTCATATTTTCGGTAGGAGGTCAACTATAGGCACTGGTCAACTCAAGGTTCACATATTTGGTACTTAGGGGCTTGAACAGTTTTGGTTCGATTTAGACAATTTTTGGTCACAAGATGGCATACTTTAAATGTATTATTCACGCAAAGTTTTACCCCGATATAATCATTGTTGCTTGATATACAGATGGAATTGAAAGTGGTGTTATGTGGGAAATAGGCGTGGTTGTAGTCCCATTTCGCCCATTTTCGCATTTTAACATAGAAATATGAACAAAATGTTATCTACCGAATTTAGTTGAAATCGGTTAAGCGGATATGGGTTTTCACCTAAAAGTGGGAGGTGCCACGCCCACCGACAAATTTTGAACTCGGTTCCTATAAAGTCATCTCATACCATCCTAGAGATAAAATTTAATGTCTCTGGCGGGTTTAGTTCTTGATTTAACGCGCTTTTAATAGTTTTTAACAGTACCGTTGTATGGGGAGTGGGCGGAGTTGCCACCTGATTTTAACTTTTTTCACACTGTAGGTAGAGGTTCTAAAAACATTTGGTTCCAGTGAATTTGGTTATTATAGCATTAGCGGTTTAGGAGATATGCACATTAAATCTATTAGGGGCGGGACCACGCCCACTTTAAAACAAATTTTTAACTGCAGATGCCCCTCCCTAATGTGATCCTGTGTACCAAATAACAGTCTTGTATCTTATTGCGGAGCTTAGTTATGGCAATTTATTTGTTTTTGATTAATGGCGTTTTGTGGGCGTGGCAGTGGTCCGATTACGTCCATTTGCAATACCAACCGTCTCACGGTACCAAGAAACATGTCTACCAAGTTTCATAAAGATATCTCAATTTTTACTCAAGTTAGAGCTTGCACGGACGGACGGACAGACAGTCACCCGGATTTCAACTCGTCTCTTCATCCTGATCATTTATGTATAGATAACCCTATATCTAACTCGATTAGTTTTAGGTGATACAAACAACCGTTAGGTGAACAAAACTATTATACTCTGTACCAACAGGTTGCGAGAGTATAAAAATTATAAATCACATACTTATATAATATTATTATTCATATACGCATGTTCTTGGAGAGATAGGAAAAGGATATAAAATTTTGTTAGTATACTGCGGTGAGTTTACAAATTTAATTTTGATACGATATGATATAATATGCATTATGTGTGAGCAAAGTATTATGAGGCTTTGTGCTATTTAGCCAATATCAGTTGGAAATAAGTTATAACAGCGCAAATGAACACTTGACACTTCTAGATGCGTCTATTTCATGTAAGCACTTATACAATAAAAGTAACACAAAAACTAAAACAGTAAGGGATGAGTTAAAACAAATATATATATATATCAACATATTTAACTCGATGAGATGTGACATACCATACTGATCCTTTTTGTAACATTTCAAAGAAATTTCAAATTACTCCTAATTAAATTAATTATAAAACGGGTAAGCGATCTAATAAATTAACAACTTTACATTAGTTGTGATAATAATATTTAACGGCTGTTTGCTATTTTCAATCTCACAATGTGATCCTCGGTCGGTTCCACTCACCTGCTTCGAATTGTAGTGATTCGTCATTTTCATCATTGTTGTATGCCGAGTGCAAAAGTGGTTCGTAGGAATTGTCAATTATATTACCTGTTGAAGACGGCACATTTTTGCATCCGAACCACCAGTGGGCAGATGGTCGAGGGAATGGCGGGTTTGCTGCGTCGACCTATTCAATATACAGAGGATAAAATCACATGAATTAATTGAGCTAAGTTTTCAATGTAAATCAGTTTATATCTATGAGCTAACAAAAAATTACCGAGAATGTTCTGTCGTTGAATCTATAGTATTTGTCACCCTTGAAAAAGTATGTATAGCCATTGGTGTACTGCAATGCAGCGTCAATATTATTTGGCAGGCCTTCCCAATTAGAGATGGGTTTCGGATAGCTTGATTTGACTGGCGGTCGTTTTAATGGGTCGAAGCGCCAAAATTTACTACCCTTGTAGAAGTAAATTTTGCCATTACCTCCCCAAACCATAGCAGCGTCCAAATGATCTGGTATCCCTGTAAATCCTTCACTAATTTCTTTTGGATAGTCACCATCCATTTGTCGTCCATTGTAACGCCAATATTTGGTACCCTTAAAGAAATATGTCTTGCCATTTTTGTATGTAAATGCTGCATCTATATCGCCTGTTTAAAAAATCACACATGTAATTGGATATTACTTACTATGCATTCTATTTTTAAAATTGACTTACCCGGTAAACCCGCCCAGCCTTCTGATATAAGTTTGGGATAACCGTCTGCAATAGAGTTTTCAGTGAGTCTGTAGTATTTGTTTCCTTTAAATGCGTATGTTTGTCCATCGGCCGAATTAAATAAGGTATCAACTTTTGGATCTTTGCAAATGAGGTCGTCCCGTGGCACTTTTGGTGCTGAAAGCAGTGGTCTTTGGGTTGTTTTTGGGAAACCACCACGATCAGCTACTCCGACAGTTTTTTTACCATATAGAGCTTGAATAGCAAGAACGTCATCGGAGTCAAGTTTAAATACGGGATCAAATCCACGATAAAATGGTGCCATCAGAGCAGAACGTACATCTGAGTGAGACAAGCCCAATGAATGGCCAAATTCGTGTGCTGCTACTTGGAAAAGGTTTGTTCCACGAGGTGATCCAATCGTCCATAATTCAGCATCATCAAAATGTGCATCACCGCCAAAAACAGGAAAGAATGCGTGAGCCAAGGTACCACCAACCCCATCAAATGCATCACCATCCCCATGTTCACTTTCAACGAATCTATAAAATAGGTAAATAACATTGACTTATGTATATTTTTAACTTATTCAATGACTGAGATGTGTAAACACTTATGTATACTGAATGTACATTAGAATTAAATCCAACTAAAAACTGTATGTATTAGTTAATAAAAAAATGCTTACTTAATTTCTATGTGAACTGGTCCAGAAGCCTTGGGAGTAAATGATAAATCTGTGAAATCGCTCCATACACTGAAAGCACGTGCTATTTCGGCGTCAACATCGTTACGTTTGAGTCGTTTAGGATATTTAGAAATCTTATATGTCAAAGCCTTAACACGCCACCTGCTTCCCTGTAAAGCATATCGCTTAGAACGACTATCGGTGCCAAATCCCACCTTATCCCTAACACCACACCGTGGCAATGACATTAGCTCCAAAGTTTCTCCATCCAAGTCTCCCGTTACATTTAAGCCAGCAAAACTTTGGAAATCTTGCACAGCTTTAGTCCATGTGCTTGCATCAAGTAAACCGCCGTTTGCAGGATTACGGGCTGATGCAGGCAGATACCCAAATTGTGATAGATAAATCTGGAAAAAGTAAGTACATTTTCAATTTTAAGATATTGCTACATACATATGTATATGTAATTTACATATGTATTTATACAATTTTTATTTTTTTAAATTTTAAATATCATTGAAAATTTTTTATAATCTGATATTCGAGTTTAGCAAGAATTAAATGATCAATTATTTATGGTTTTGTGTTAATTACTTTCCCATACGACGTAAATATCAAAAAATGTTTATTAAATACTTATGTGTAAATATGTAAATAATATAAACTATTTTAGAATGTTGATAATGCACATTAGATTTTTTGTACAGACAAAAATGAATTGATATAATTGCAAAATTCAAGACTAAATTGACCGAATTTCTATTTTTATTTACAATTTTAAATTTCTTGGTAAAAATTTGTTAGTTTTTGAAGAGCAAGGTTTGAGAACATTTATTATTTACATACAATTATAATGTATGTACGAGTACATACATATATTAGTACATGTATACTTATAAACATATACAAATTTACCTGGAGTATCGAACTGTCCAGAAAATATACCAGTATTCAACTAGACACTCCATAACAGTAAATCAACAGACTTATACCAATCACAGTCGAGGTTTCTAATGTTATATGTATGTATAAGCTGTCTGCGATTCGCCAAGCGTTGGATAGTAGTTAATCGAACAAACCATGCGCTACTACCATGTCTTCTGACGCATGCGCAATTGTGTTGCGTTTCTTTCTTTGAAGAGAAATTCTTCTTTTCTCGAAAAAAACACATTTTCGAGGCTATGATTTTGCTTCATAAAACTTTTTTTTGGTGAATATATAAGTAATTTTTACTCATTTGTAGTAAAATAAAAATTAATCAATATATCTATACGTACGTACGTCAGTTTACGTAATGTGAGGGGACACAACTTACTTCGAATGAAATAAATGAATATACATAGATATTTATGGTCTATATATGTATATATGTATGTGTGTATATAGTGTGTAGCAATGAAATAGTTCAGATTAAAGATATCTTATAATTTCAAAGCATATTATGAAAAGTTAATGAGTGAAGATTGCTTTATTTTGAAGTTATTTTAATAAATCAACTTTTTTATTGAGGGGGAAAGGGCTTAGAATGTGAGCAACACACATACGATTACAATATTAAGGCAATACATTTTTAGAGCAGATGAAGTTTTTCCCATGCTATAGGAACAAAAATTGTAAAATTGTAATACTTGCGTTAAAGTTCATTTACCTATTGACGCGCGTTTAATTAATGCATATGTACATACTTATATTAATTTCAAGCTGACGCATGCGCCTCCATATACATATATGCAATATATACGTATATTATATGTATATATATTATCATTTGTGGGTCCCGTATATACTTTATTTGTAAATACGCAAAATATATGCACGTCACATGTGTGCATATATCATACGAGGTAAGCAATCGACGCGCAATCGGTTTGAATCGCATTTATTATTATTCTCGATGCGATAATTTTTTATTAACACTCCACGGCTAGACTTCCTACTAAACATTTCCTATGCATTCACTGAAACAAAACATTGCCATATAATTTTTGCTTTGTATGCTTACGGGCTACGTGAGTATTTTCGAAAATCGAATAACGAGTATTACGTTCAACCGTCCGGTAATGAAAAAATATTTTTATGATAGCACTATAATTGCAAAGATATTCAAAATCAGCTGAGTGGTTGATTAAAATACTAAAACGCAATATAAAGCATTAGTATGTAATATGTACTTATCTATATACTTTCTCTTTATTTATAGTACATATGTATATTACTCCTTCGGTATAACTTTATCATTAAAGTAATAAATGCTCTCCTAAATAGCCCAGAAATGAGTAACAACATAATAGCGTCGTGGTTTTCATAAGAGGGGACGTAAAAGGAGTAATAAAACAAGTAAGGAAGGGCTAAGTTCGGATGTAACCGAACATTTTATACTCTCGCAAAGTCAAATGGTATACTCGTTTGAGATTTCTTTGTGGGTTGACTGATATTTTCGGTAGAAGGTCAACTATAGGCACTGGGGCCCACATATTTAGTACTTAGAGGCTTGAACAGTTTTGGTTCGATTTAGACAATTTTTGGCCGCAAGGTGGCATACTTTAATTGCATTATTCACGCAAAGTTTTACCCCGATATAATCATTGTTACCTGATTTGCATAGTGGAAAGTGAAAGAATCAGATGGAATTGAAAATGGTGTTACATGGGAAGTAAGCGTGGTTGTAGTCCGATTTCGCCCACTATGACATAGAAACATGAGAAGAACGTTATGCACCGAATTTGGTTGAAATCGGTTGAGCAGATCTCAAGATATGGGGTTTCACCTAAAAGTGGGCTGTGCCACGCCCACTGTCTAATTTTGAACGCGGTTCCTATAAAGTCATCTTATACCATCTCAGGGATAAAATTTAATGTCTCTGGCGTGTTTAGTGCTTGATTTATCACGCTTTTAGTAGTTTTTAACAGTACCGTTATATGGGGAGTGGGGGGAGTTGCCACCCGATTTCAACTATTTTCACACCGTCAATAGAAGTGCTAAAAACATTTGCTTCTAGTGAATTTTGTTATTATAGCATTAGCGGTTTAGGAGATATGCACATTAAACCTATTAGAGGCGGGACCACGCCCACTTTAAAAAAAAAAAGTTTTAACTGCAGATGCCCCTCCCTAAAGTGATCCTGTGTACCAAATAACAGTCTTGTATCTTATTGCGGAGCTTAGTTATGGCAAGTTATTTGTTTTTGATTAATGGCGTTTTGTGGGCGTGGCAGTGGTCCGATTACGCCCATCTGCAATACCAACCGTCTCACGGTACCATGAAACATGTCTACCAAGTTTCATAAAGATATCTCAATTTTTACTCAAGTTAGAGCTTGCACGGACGGACGGACAGACGGACGGACGGACAGACGGACGGACGGACAGACAGTCACCCGGATTTCAACTAGTCTCTTCATCCTGATCATTTATATATATATAACCCTATATCTAACTCGATTAGTTTTAGGTGATACAAACAACTGTTAGGTGAACAAAACTATTATACTCTGTAGCAACAGGTTGCGAGAGTATAATAATCGAATTTATTTTATTCCGTATTTCTAGCTATATATTGTAGCTGTATATATAGCTGACAATATGGGTGAAAAAATGATACACATGTATATGTATATATTTTTATATAATATTTTTTCTGATACTAGAAATCAAATGTCCACCTATTTTATTTCCTTTTGCCAATGAAGTAACGTAAAATATCATATAAAATTATACGAAAGTTTAAAAACTAAATGATTAGGGAAAAAATATACATGTTATGTGAAGTAATATTTGTAGATGAACCTTTGACCTAATTATATTGTGTTCTTACTCTAAACAACAAAAAACATTAAGTTCGACTGCACTCAAGCTGTAATACCCTTCACATGTGCTTTCCTCATATTAAATATATGTATAATAACTCTGAATACGTAACCGGCCAACGATTTGCATCCAACGGAAAAGGTTTTCCAAATTTTTTCTAACCACGCTATTTGAAAACATACACATGTATATTAAGGAAAACATCTTTCAGGAAGATCTTTATCCTGACTTTGATGGGACAGTTTAAATAGCAGCTATAAGCTATAGCTGTTCGATCTGAACGATATGGTCCGAGATTGTTGCATTGTCTTGAAAAATAATAAATACTAAACGAGAGCTTAGTTCGGGAGAAACCGAACAATTTATACTCTTGCCACTTCAAAGTCCGGGAAAATTGTTGTATTAAAAAATGTTACGAAAGAATTAAACATCCTCTATTCGATGAAATCGTGAATAAATTGCAATCAAATTAAGTATATTTTTGAGTTATATTGAAGGCCAAAAACTTAGACTTAGCTTCGTTGCTGTATTTCAGTTCGGGTCAGCTAAAATTATATTAAAAACACCTTCAAATAAGATATATATATGTGATATTAACTCAACCGATGAGGTTAAATTTAATATACCATATATTGACCGACATATTCGACATAAAATATGTTAGAATAACAAAAATCATTAGAAGCAGTATATGGGAGTTAGAAGTAGTATTGACCCGATTTTTATCAATTTTTGCCAATACTACTAACCTGCCACAGACTAATAAAATGCTCCCAGGGTTTCATTAGGGACTTCACATACCATCCATGCTCCAAAAATTCTGATATTAGTTATATGGAGGTTTATTAAGTTTTCGCCCATTTTGGGCACAAAAATACACTGTTAGGAGTAAATACACGGTCTCTCATTTTCATTGAGATAACTCCCTCACTGGCCGATATATGTGGTATAAAGTTACCCGGAAGTTCAAAAATTTTTATATTAGGTATATGAGGGCTAAAGGGAGTATTGACCCGATTCAACGCAATTCTGACATACAGACATATTATTTTTAAAAAAGAAAGCTCTCTGAATTTCAATAATATGAAGTCAATTATAGCACTGGGGTCGATTTGGAACATTTTTGGTGGTGGCACACTTTAAAGTCATTATTTGTGCAAAGTTTTATCCCGATACATTCATTGGCGCTTGATTTGCATACTGGAAAGTGAAAAATCAGATTGAATTTAAAATTGTATTATATAGAAAGTAGGAGTGGTCGTATTGCGATTTCGGGGAGTGATTTAAGTAGTTTTTAACAGTACCGTTATATGAGAAGTGGGCGGGACTATCGTCAGATTTCATCCATTTCTACAGTGTTGGTAGGGGTGCTTAAAGTACCTGAACGAATTAGGTTATTTTAGCTTGGCCGTGTTGTACTTGGACAGTTCCAGCTTGCACAGGCAGACATCCGGATTTCAACTAGTCTCGATATCGATTAGTTTTAGGTGATACAAGCAACCGTTGGGGGAACAAAACTATTATACTCTGTAGCAACATGTTGCAAGATTATAAAAAGATTTCCAAAGAAGAATTTGTGGGTCGGCTTCGCCGGGGGATAT